TTATCATATTAGAAGTGATCCGAAAAACTTCTTGAACAAAAGGCTACTCTTAAAAAACAAAGTTTGATTCAAGAGTTACAATCTCTGATATTTATATATTTGGTAATCCTAACTAATCACTCAATCAACATTTATACTTCAAAATGAATGGATACATCACATCCAAAAAGACTATATGGTGCCGAGGCAATATGTGATGCCAATAAGGCTTCTAAATAAACCAAGTTTGATTAAAGAAGTCCCTTTTCTCATACTATATGAAATTGGTATAGAAACTGAAGAAGCATCCAGACCTGACTCGGTATCTGCCTCCCGTGGAAAACAGAGTTAACTGGAAACTTGGCTGTAAAAGAAGGGTGAGGATGAATGTAAACCGAGTAAAGCCCTTTGTGACCCCTGAGAAGCCTCTCCCAGAGAGGAGCAAGCGGCAAGGGTCCTTTAGTCAAGAACATAAACGCAATCTTTGGAACCCTTTTAAACGGATATTCTTTTCTCCGAGGCCAGAAAGAAGCACGCCAAAGGAGCTCTTCGTCGCTCATGTTATGCATCAGAACCGCAGGAGGCTGTATCCATCTACTCAAACCATTACGTTCCTCCTCGCGGCATGGCACAAAGCTCGAAGTGACCGTGGTTACTACATTTTGTAATCCACTATACTTGATTGTAGATACACTAATGATGAATACAGCAACAGAGAAAGCAAGAAAAACCCCTAGCACAAGTAGCAGTTTAGGAGGAAATGACTTGTACTGTCCTGTTCTAACCAAGATTCCATTTTCTTTTCCTTCTTCCATCTGTACAACCCTATTCTGCATCTTTATCAATGTCTAGTATCCGATTTGCAGATTTCTGGTTTCTGCTTCTAACTTGATCTAATGAATCACTATCAAGGTAGAGACTAAAACACTTGAATGATTCAAACAAAATCCAAAGTCAATGATTTAAGTCGTAAGATCCCAAAACTAGAACTTTAGATCTCTTCGCTAATCACGAAGACCTCGAAGCAGCTTCATACTTAAACAAAAATCCACATAAAACCCATTACACGGAATCTTCAAAGAAATTCAAATCAGACTAATTTCTTCAAATCGGAAAAACTCCAGAGAAATCAACTTTGCAACCGTCGAAACGTAACCGGATTCAGAGCTAGCTACTTGAAGAAACTAAGTTCCATATCTCTAGGAGAAGCAAATGAATAAAGCAGAGGATGATACTCCATCCACGTGTCGAGCTTACCGGAAAAAAAAGCAAGAGGAATCAGTAGTGCGAAGATTTAACAGGAAAAACACTGAGAACTTACGAATCCGTTGTCTCGAAACTTGATAGAGAGAGAGAGAAGAGATGATGGATCGAGAAGACGACTTGAAAAAAGGTAAAGTGAGGAAAGACGCAGAAACGGTTTGTGCGTAGACTACTGGTCTTGTTCTCTCGTGTAGACTTTTTTGGGGTAAATCGAAATCGGATCATCATGTTTATGTTTTTTTTTTAATGATTTGTTTTTCAATTTTAGAAACTTTTTTTTACGCGTTTTAAGGATTTTATAGATTTTGAAATTCAATTAATAATAGAAATTGCGAATTAAGTGGTATTATACAATTAGTTTTTATTGATTTGTTTTCAAATTTGAGTTAAACGAGATCAATGGACATATGATGCAAAGTTGCAAACAAATAAAATTATGGATGGACATTTGTATGCTATTACTGAATAAGGTTAATTATATTCAAAAGAATATCTCCTTCTTTGGAAAATATCTACAAATACAAGGATTCCTAATTTTGTTACAAAAAATTATATTCAAAATCTATACGAAGTTTTGGCATGAATGTGGTCTCTGTGTGGTTTTGGCATTTGGTTTTTTCTTTGTGGTTTCAAGTGATCTCTTATTCATGATGCAATTTCAATTCAAATTCAATAAAAATCTTACAGTGAAAAAAAAAAAAAAATCCATACGAAGTTGATTCAATATTCATACAAGAAGAAATAAACCCTTCACAAGCACCATCTCGTATAAATGGACATGGTCACTATTTTTCATGTATTACAATTTAATACTACCAAACTAAATAATTTCATGGCATAAGTGAATTTGGAGTCAAATCAGACCATTTCCCAAGCATCATAATATAGGAATTGGATGGAGTATGTATAATTGCAGTTTGCAGCCGTTGTTCAGTGGTTCATGATCTTTCCCGTTTACACAATCTCTTGTTCATGCTGAAGTAGAAGCTTTGAGAATGACAAGCGTGGAGTTACATAGGCTATGGTGATGTCATCTTCTGTGGGGATTTACAAAAGTTTTATGGTCTACTGCAAGACTCAAGTATTGATTTGAAAAATCCTCAAGTGATACATTTTCCTTGCATAACACAGCTGCAAGATATTATTAAGATAGCAAAGCTTTGTAATTTCATTTTTCTTCATAATTTAATGGAAGCCAATGTTAATGTGGATCATATGGCCAAACAAGTTAGGTTACATTCTCAGAGTTACATTGTAAAATGGTCAATGTAAGGATTTGAAGTTGTAATAAAATCATTGGACGAC